GCAGGAGATCGTTTCCAATAATATTAATGTCAGCTGTATGCCGTAACTACACTTCGCTGTCGCGCGTGCGCTGAGTATACCGTGAGGACGCACTACCCTACGCGGATTCGTGGTTTCCAATACTACATCGTCAATGTTGATTTGCAGCACCATTGCAGATCGCATTTCCGATGAAGGCTGAAAGAGACAGACAGTTTTGCTTGTGTTTATGGTGAGCCCGAATCTGGCCGCTGTCGAAACCAGAGCATTAGTCATGGGCTGCAACTCATCCGCGTAGTGCGCAAACAACGCACAGTCGTCAGCAACATACGGATAGTTGTCTCACAGACTAGAATCATCGCACTAAAACGACGGATGTTCAGCAACCCACTATCAATATAGGGCTCTACACGGACACCGTAAGCACAAGCCGTATGAAATGCATAAAACATCATGGCATGAAGATAAATATTAAACAGGGCGGGAGCTAAGACGTAGCCTTGCTTCACACCAGAGACAACTGCAAAGTCATCCGAGGTCTCTCCACTCAGATGCACCCTCACTAGCATACCACTGTGCAGACATACAATTAAACTTACGCGGGCAACCAAAATTACCCAACACCAGAAGCAATGCCTCGCGGTTCGCCGTATCAAATGCCCTGGTGAAATCAACAAGAAGCGAGTACAACGGTTGGTGCCGTTCTCTTGCAACTGACGAGCCGCAAACATCATATCTATATTGCTGCGACCCGAACGGAATCCACACTGCTCTTCTGCCACGTTAGGTTCCACAACCTGACTGACGAGATTGACTGGGAGGCGGACTTCCGTAGACCACATGGAGAGGCCGCAGTCGTTGGAAATGCCTATCACTCTCCACATCTTCAGACCATCCGCAAACTGGGCACGCGGCGATCAAAGAAGCTGAAGCAAATCATTGCTTTTGATTAAGAACAATGTGAGCTCCAGCACCGTGCCTCGCAGAGGGACACAAGTCTGTTAGATGGTCGTCGACCTGTACTCTTCACTTTCGACCAATGAGAAACTCTTAGATCCACTGGAGCAGTGATCCACCAACGCCGCACACTCGAACGCTTTACTGCAATCGATGTAGATTACGTCGACAGTCTTCTGGCTCATTACTTACAACCATCCATGCTCCGTCATCAATAGGTTGCTAATGTATGGTCAGCCTAATATAAAACCGTGCTGTGCGGCCGTCAGTGGATCTTTTGATTTGAACAGTTGTAGTAGATCTTTCTTCACGATCTTCTCAGCAGCCCTAATCAAAATAGGTGTCAGACAAATCCGCCTGTAATTGTCATTCTTTCTGGAGTCAATGCTTTTCAGAATCGGCTTTACCACTGAGCATTGCCAGTCGCTCGGCAATGAACATTCGGATAGTGACCTGTTGAGCTAGTCAGTCACACCGGGTGAGATGATGGCCACTGATGAGAATCAGTGGGTGGAATCCATCAATGCCAGCAAGCTTTTGGTCGTCAATGTTGGCGAATAATTGATGGACCTCTTTAACACCGCGAACCAAACTGTCGAGTTCAGCAGTTCGGACACGTGGTTATTTGCAAATACGGAAGCGAAGGGCACTGTCAACGCGGACGCGCGCTCAGTGCTGGAGGTTAGGGCTGTTTGTCCGAGCCCTCTAGCACTGGCAGATCAAATGCCGGCTGGAGGCGCCGCCTCACGTAAGCAAACATTCTGTTCGTATTGCCAGCGTTTGCTCGTTTTTGCACCATTACAAATATCTCGCTGCCTCTCATACGTCTCGTAGTCATTTGTAAGGGGGCGGAAAGGAGGAATTTGTCCCACAATTTACGCCGTCCCCGAGCCACTTTACCATACTCTTTGTCAAACCAATGCGACTTGAATGATCCAACTTTCCGACACTTCAGTGGTACAAACTGAGCACATAGTACTGTCACTCCCTCTTTTATAACATTCCAACGGTCTTCCATAGATGTAACTTGTGCCAGAGACCAACCCGCTTTGTTCGCGGCTCTAGTTAGACCGTCAAAGTCAGTTTTCTAATATTTGTAATCTAGTTCCAGCGGAGGTGAATACGATAAACATAGATCCATACTGGCTATGAACACTGGGTGGTCGCTTGCTGCTAGGGCTTATAGGACCTGAGCATCATACACATGTTGTCCATAGCTTGTTAACATCAAGTCTATGTACGACGAAGCTGAGTGCGGCGTTATTCATATCGGCTGATATACGTGTTGCGTTACTCCATTTTCAAGTACTAATTCCACGAACTTTGCTTCCACCTCACAACATCCAAGCGTGAGTTGAACATCAGGTCAGCGTGCTCGAGGACAATTGAAATCATCCATGAGTAGAAAATGGGGACGACTCATGTGGCTTCGGAGATGTGACATCCAGTCCAAGCAACGGCTGAGGGGACCGGGGTAAGATGCACCCAAGAGCAGTTCCCCGCACCTCAGACGGGTCGAGCACCGTAGCTGCTCACACTGGCCACCACTGCTTCTGTAGACGCTCACAACTCCCACACAGGGAAGACCGGATGTAGACCAAGACATCACCACCGTCATTCGGTAGTCTATCGCAGCAGTACCATGACTAGTTACTGAGTTCGATTTCCTGTGCAATAATCTCAGAATTCGGACACGTCTCTGCGAATCCCACTACGTCTGGTCTCAGGTGTAACGGAACGACACATTTCATCCGGCTTGTTTATAAGACTGCAAATGTTGGTAAAGGCCGCACGCCGGTCACAGCAGGAACCATCGGGCATGCTTGAAGTGTGCGTAGCTGTTTATCTTTCCTCGTGGAGTCTTGGAAACGACCCGAAAACTTACGATACAGAAATTTGTTTCTCAATCACCATTTCGTCACTTCAGCTCAATGCTGAAGACTTGGGCCGTTCTCGATCCACTGGATCCAGCTCTGAACGAACTTGGATCTCTGAACCGTTTAAGCTGCACAAGACCAGTCTCGGACTGATTACTTCCACAAAGGTGATTCTCACTTTGATCACCTTTCCAAGATGGACAATTTGCCTCACTTTCAACCCGTTCTCATCCATGTCTAGGAGTCTATCAATTAGGCTCTGTAGAAACTCGACGTCATGATTATAGCGTATCTGGGGAGTTGGATTACTGTACTCATGTGCGTGGAAGATCACGAGGTCAAAATGCCTCTGGTCGGCCAAGATGGACCTTGCAGCGCAAAGACTTTCCCGAACTCCACATGTTCTGGCCTGCCATTGATTTGCAGCGGCCAAACTCTTCATTTTTCTGACTTTTCGTTCCTTGTACTTTCCACGTGTCTGCGGTACACAGACCTTCACATACTTGGTCATCTGTGCCTGTAGGATACAACACAGGTAAAATATTCGTGTCTGGTGTAACTGACACTTTGGCAACCCCGGAACTTCGTGTCGGTGAGTCTGCACGGGACCAATAGGAAAACTTATCTCAAATCTCGAAACGCTTCGGGCTAGCTTGTTTAGCCAAACGTGCGAAACTGCTCGCAACGGAATGATTCATCCTACAAGGTTACTTACGATTATGCTCTACTTTCTCGGGTTCTATCTCGTTTCGGAAATCCCTGCACGAAATCTGAACGAAAGCACATTACGTTTCACGGAAACGCTGAGAATGCTCAATCGATAGTCGAATACATGAAATGTGAAGTTTAACGTGACACAGCACATGTGAGTACATCTGCTCGACTTCCGACAATCTTGGGACGGGTACCACTTCGGCATCATAAAAAATACGAGACCAAGATTGTCACCAGTTGTGGAGCACAAAGCGATAGTAAGATCTCCGGAATTAAACGGAGATAACACAATTGTGATGATCGAAAAATCCTGAATCATATTGTAATCTCCAGGAAATAATTCCCACGCACGGAGAAATTTAACAATGAATTATCTTGTTAACACAGCTAGGAAAGAATCGACTAGAGGCTGATAACCGCGTTCTGTTTTTTCACGTCCTTTAACTCCTGTGGGCCATCCCCCACTTAGACCTGCCTGTTCTTTATGGCTGCGCATTTTCGGCACCCACCCAAATAATCTCAGAGTGTCAATGCCACCTTAAGCTGAGAGCGAGTCTGTCAGGTTTCACTGCCTTGTGCATGAATGCGAAGATAAGTAAGTCACGATCCCCCCTCCTTTAATCACTGTTTGTTCGCGGCGAGTATTCTGATTCGCATATTTCACAATTTATGCATGATGTGCTTTACTTCAACCACAAATAACTGCTTCACTTATAGAAACCTGCGATTTGCGACGTAGGAATGGCACTCATTTATCTCTCGAGACCTCGGGCTGTCTCCTCGATGTCGCCCTGTCAGTTAAACCAATGGACTTTTCTCTTTATCAACCTGCTGTCCCATCGGCAACAATGAAAGGAAGGCTGATTTTTTAACCCTGAACATGGACATCCTACCGGCTGGAGGCATCACTACTTGCGTTCCGAAGCGGTTCCCCTGGAAAACATTTGATTTTTCGGCAATTCTGAGGCCCATTCTATCTCTTAATTCCACTTGGGAATTTTCTAAATCGTTGTCTATTTTGAGTACTGATCCACCTGTTGATCTGACCAATTCGGTTGAAAGCGTTTCGTCAGAATTTACTAAGAAACTAATTTGTTGCATGTTAACTGCACTTGCGTAATCTAACTGCATCGTTTCGTTCTATTACAAGTGTATAGCGCGAGCAAAACATTCACTGTACCCGAAATCATGTGCTCTCGTTATTCGGCCTTTAGTTCCCTCTGTCAGTAGTACGACTTTTCCGCGCCACTATGCCTACTGTTGCTTTCCAGTATTAACGCTGGAGTGCTTCTTGTTCAGTGAAAGTCCAAAACAAATTTACTACGAGACAACAGGACGGACTTTACAACTGTACCTTCACCAGGTCTCACTGTGCCACATAGTACACTTGACTTGTCAGTCTCTCATTGAAAACCTGAAATTAAGAGGATCGCACCTGCGATGCCCACTGTCAACGTTTAGAAGGGAATTTGTGCGCTCGTAATTGGTCATGTTGATCAGCCTGCAGATACGTTAGATAATCTTTTGCTACTTCTCGAAGCCATCATCTACAAGGTATCTTGAGTATCCTGCAGTTCTGCACTCTGTTCCACTCTTTTGATCATTTTAAGGGATCCACTGCTCCTGCAAATTATTTGGAGTCTCCAGTTGTGTTTCGCGTTTCTAATGGTCGCATCAGTTATGTGTTTCATCATTCAATCGCTTGAGTAAGTAAGTAAGCAGGCCTTATCTTCGCTTCATCCCAGAACTCTCTCTGGGTTATGTATCACGTAAGGTTTTATAAATTAAAATGCACACTTTATTGCGACATCGTGGGTTCGTGTGAAGTTCATATACATGACATTGCTCGGTGAATTCTCATTGACCTGTGCTGTGTATTGGACTTCGGAATCTGGTTAATCAGCGGAACAGCACTCGACTCAGACGACCACGGCCAGCTACCTGATAGGATTCCACTCCTTGCCTGCTCAGAAAGTAGTTCATGTACGCGTACGGTTCGAATTCCTCCGCTTCAATTTTATCTTGAGCGCCTGTCACCTCTGAAGTCTGTTCCAACAACAACTTGATGTGTTTCCTCCTTGGTACCTTCTCTGGGTGCAAGTAAGCCGCTGTGCGCCCCACGGCCATGATTAGCCCAATCAAGAGGAAGACGGTTGGTGCTGTGACAAGTCCCAGAACGCGCCAAAATTCGGGCGTCATCCACCACGAGTTCAATGCCGCTTTTGGTATTATCTTTATATGCAACTCGTCGATGAACCAGTAAACTGGAATGCTTTTTGTCTTTTTATGACTTGTCATCCCGAGACCATGGATCCAACATTGCCACTTGCCTGAAGTCTGCGGTGTTGTCCCTGTCAGCACCAACCAACGGGCTTTCCACAATTTGCTGGCGTGCCTTTGGGCTAGTGCCAGATCCTGTTGTCCGATTTGTGGATCCCCTCTACTCGGTTCCTCATTATACACGCAAGGCACAATCGATACCGGATCGCAAACATGTACGGGCGCTTGGAGTCGAAGCTCCAATTTTTCGTCCATTTCCACCGCCACCGTATCATCAAACATTCCGTCTGGCACAAACCGCCAGCCGAGACTCCAAAACGTCGGATCAACTCCACCTAGCGACAGCGCAGTGAGAAAGATGTCCACGTTACATTGAGCTGCGACGGAAGGGAGAAATTACAGGAAATGTTAGAATGAAAGTACAAAGTCAGTCTTAGTTTACTTTTCCACACACACACATATATGTGCCACATTTCAGACCACTGCAATGTTTACTCGTGCTGTTTATACTTCTACGCCAAACATGTGCCTTAACTTGTGTCCATAAGGAGTAATATATTTCCAGAAAAGTACTGAACCCAATAAGGAAACTCATTGGACAAGTAACATTTGATCAGACCACTAAGTTGGACTGTTCTTCGCTTTGTCGGGAAATGTACTACTTATTACCACAGTTATCCGTTTATCCTTGTATGTGTGGCACTTCCACGCGCTCTCAGGGCTACCCATATCGGACAAGCCGATGATAAGAGGTCAGGCGAACTCTGTTCCATCGTACTCCTCGTCGGACGGTAAAGAGAAGTCGATAACCCTCTTCCTTCCATAATTAACCACGGGAAGCATCAGTTATGACTGCTAAGCTTGGTCCCCGGTTAAGGTGAAGCACGAACGCTATTGATTGTCACCACAGGTAAGGTCGCATAGCTTTACTCAGATTTAAAGAAATCCTGATCAAAAAGACGCGCACCTGCTACGTAGTTGATCTTGACCGCAGATACACATTATGATATAGTTAAAGTATGCATTACTGCCATTTTTCTACACGTCTCATGGACGTCAGTCTGGGGTGAACCGCAAGATCTAGTGATCACGTGTTTACACTTCCTTAAGAGCCAGGGCAATGCCACTTTCGCAGATAACCCAACATGGTTTTACTGGATTTGAAAGCCACCTTACACTCATTTGCTCGTTCTAACTTAGGATCCTATGAATTTGAAGGGCGTCCCAGATAGACTCTTTCCTACTCCGAATTACTGCACTGCTAATCCTGAGATCAAATAAAGGTCTATGGAAAGCTATCTATTTAATTACTTGCCATCAATGAGTGTATCAGGATTATCCTATCTTCTTTTAACTCGGTGACCGAAATGATCACAACTGATTCTGTCATCCCAATCTCCTCTGGCGTGAAAGTACCACCGGATGTCCGACATCATCATCATCATCATTACAAGTTAGCTGGAGGTGGAAAACACATCAGCTTTGTGCCGCAATACAAGAGACAACAAAAGAAAAAAATAAACAGTGGCACGCCCGCTGAGTCCCCAGTAACGGATGGACATCGTTCCGGAGAGATAACAGCTGGCTGCCGTAAAAGAGAGTCATATTATGCCTAACAAGTGATATCGTGATTGAATGGGGATGCTAAGCAGGAGTCAAGAAGTCGCTCACCAGGAAGTAGCTCCACACCTTCTAGGTCGTGTCCAGCGAACGCTGTTTCCATGACTTTATCAGTGGCGAAGTTGAAGAGGAAAGGTGACAGCGGGCTTCCTTGTCTCACACCGCTGGTGATACTGAAGGGTGACGAGAGTTTGCCATAAACCCTCACCCTGCCCGAACTATGCGCGTACAGCGCTTTGATAATGTTTACGTATTTATCAGGCACACCTTTCCTCAGCAGACAGTCCCAAAGTGCACATCGATCGACTGAGTCGAAGGCACCATTCATATCAAGAAATACGACAACGGTGGGTGGCCAATAAACATGGCGGTGCTCCAACACTTGACACAATGTGAAGATGTGGTCGATGCAGCCCCGACCTCGACCAAATCCGGCTTACTCTTCACGAATCTGGCTTTCACGAGTGCCGGTAAGTCTGTGGAGAATGACAGAGGCAAGAAATTTAGAGGCAATCGAAATCAGACTGATCCCTCTATGATTGTCGCATTCCAAACGGGAGTTTCCCTTGAAAATTGGGACGATGATGGAGCGGTTCCAGTCTGTCGGGACTGTCTCCTGCTCCCAAAGTTTTACTATCAACTCGTGTAGATCATCTACTAGAGCAGGTCCCCCGAATTTGAAGAGAGCTGGGGGAATTCTATCTGCCCCTGCGGCCTTATGCAATTTCAACAGCCTGATCTCACGTTCGACTTCTGCGCGTGAGGGCGGATCCGAGGAGACGGCCCAGGGAGAAGGGCGCTCAATGCCCGAAGAAGAAAGCGATAACTCAGGTTGGTTAAATTGCCTTGCAAAGTGTTCAGCCCAACGCTCCAAGCGTTTTGGCAAGCTGTGGATCGGCTGCCCACTCTCGTCGCGTATGATCTCGCTAACACCAGGTCTCCTGCTGTCTGTTTCCCGCATCAGACGGAATAACTTACGATGATTACCAACGGTAGCGGCTGTTTTCATCTCAGAGGCACGGTGAGACCACCAGTTTTCGCGGTCCTTCTTCAGGCTAGCACGTAGTTTTGCCCTAAGATTTTTGCGAGCCTCATTGTATTCGCTTCCAGCCGGAATACGTCGGCGAGCATCCATAAGTTGCAGAGACTGTGTAGAGACCCAATCTCCGGTTTGGCAATTTGCTTTGCCTGCTAACAGCAACGCTTGACGAATATGCGACCAGTGATCTTCAACGGTATTTAGTGGGCGCTTACTCAACCCAGATGTCAGCGCACTTTGGTACACATTCAGAACATCTGGCTTCGCCAGCTGGCTGGTGTCAATACGTTCACATCGACGTTGCGGACGTCCACCGAAACGCACCAGGAGGTCGGCACAGACAAGTGCGTGGTCAGAGTCCACGCTCGTGCTCCAAATCGAGCGACAATTTTGAACGCAGCCTCTCCAGCGGTAACTGATCGCGATATGATCGATTTGCGTCCATGGTTGGCCCGAGGCTGGTGGCCGCCAAGTCACGCTTCTGCGGGTGCTGTGTCGAAAGTTAGTGCTCGCGAGACAGAGGCGAGCATCTTCACACAGCTGTAGCAATCGCTCACCATTATCATTACGGGAGCCTACACCATGTTGGCCACCCAGACGAAGCTCATCAGAGGACAATTTTCCGACTTGTGCGTTTAGATCGCCAGTCAGCACCACAGTATCCGTGCTTCTTCTGTAACGAAGGAGCTCGTGAAGTTGCTGATAGAAATCATCTTTTGCCGGATCAGTGCTGCAGTTTGTAGGGGCGTAAGCCGCAATGACAAACAGGCTACGTTTGTCCCCGCGCGACTTCGTAGCACGGAACGAACCAGGTAATCTGACGGCGCACATTCTACTGTTTACTGGGATCCAATCAATCAGGGCAGCTTCAGCCCGGAGACTCAAAATAATACCGACGCCAGCTTGACCGGCATTTGAAGCTGCATCATCGTCAGACAGGCGTAATGAGAATGTGCCGCCAGTGTTGCATGTGGGGGATCTCAGGGTAAGCATGGAGCTCGAACCTTGCAGGCGGGTTTCTGATAAACAGCAAATATCGATCGATAGGGTCTTTAGTGTGAGGACAAGTGCTGCCTGTTGGCCAATCTGCAGCAAAGTGCGCACGTTGAGGCACGCCAGTCTTAGCGGGACGCGAGGACTCCAAAGGGAAACGGATTAACTGACGTTGTCCGCTTGGTTGAACATGGACTTGTCGACTGGATTGGAGCGAGGCCCTGCGATTGTGTGTGATTTGAAAGTAGAAGACAAGCGACTATTGAAGTAAGCTGGGGGAGGGCCAAGAATTGGAGGATTGAAAATGCGGGGATATAAGTAAAGTTGGAGCGGGACGATAAGGACGAAGAAGCGCAAGAAGGGGAATAAGAAGACGGAAAGGCCTGAGCAGTAGTATCCAAACCCCTATCCACCCTGCTCGATGCAGCAGATAGGGCGCCGTTTATTATCCTCTGCGACGGCGAGAGCATCAAGAAATTGTTGTAGGAAAGGTTCATTGTATTGCTTGGGCAGAATACTGTCAGGTTGCCCAGGCCTAGACAGGAGAACGATTAGGGTTCTCAACCATAGCCTTTGATTCCGACCTGCGGAGTTGGAATGCTGTTCGACAGCTGTGCTTTGGGGGATGCAGTTTCCGTACGAATACTTTTAGTTAGCTTGGTGCAGAGCGCTGCGCTTCGGCATATCCCCCAAATTGCGGCGAATTATTAGGAATGGATTGGTAGGCCACTGACACTGTCAGCGACCAGCCACTGGAGATGGTCGAGCGGTCTATTTTACCTCGAATGGCCGCATCACTGAGATATTTAATGCACGAGTCGATAAGGCGCACATGTTTTGAGATTACAATCACATATGGCGGCGATAGGTTAGCAATCTGCCAGTCAGGCGCAAGTCGCAAAGCACCGTTAAGGCAGATGTTGCTGTATGTATCGGAAATATAGTGGCCGTGTACTTGAGATTTTTTGTCTTTGAGTCCCGGTACTTGTGGCGTAAGTGTCGTATCTGGTGGGAGCACTACATAACCACCGGTTTGGGTGTTCAGAGCGAAACATGTGCTGTAACACTAAAGCATCATCATCATCATCAACACACGTTAGTTAGTTGAGGGTGGAAAACACACCTCAGCTAATGTGCCGCAATCCCAAAGGGTAAGATACAAAAGATTAACATTTCGATTGTTCTCATCAGTCGCAAGCACAATAAAAGCGGAATTCATAGACAGTTATATACAGGGGGGACGGAGTTAATAGCCAACATGGTTATTGGGTCTCTTCGCAGTCTCTAGAACTTATCGATGCTCGCCGACATATTATTCGAGAATTATACGCGCATAGCACTGGCAGAGTGCGGGTTTACGGCAAGCTGTCGCAGCCATTTTATATCTCCAGCGATGTGAGATAAGGATGTCCACCGCCACCTTTCCTCTTCAATTTCGCTATTGACGAAGTCATGGAAATCGCGTTCACAGGACACGACTTATAAGGTGTGGATCTGCTCCCAGGAGAGCGACTTCTTGACTTGGAGTAGGCTGACGACATTGCCCTCATCTGTGACAGCTCCCAGACGTGCCAAGCCGCGCTGGACAGATTAGCACTGGCTGTCAGCCGCTTCGGGCTTTGCTTTGCATCCTCGAAGTATAAAGCGTTCCTCCAAAATTGGCAGGGATCGTCTCCTGCGCTGACCCTTGGTGGGATCAGCTCGAAGTCGTTCAGAAACTCAACT